CATTTTACAACATATCATCTACACCGTCCATTTTCAAGATTTTCATATGTTTATAGATCTACTTGATTTTAACTATTTTAAAATTTAAATTTTTATATTTAGATATAAAAATAGATATTGAGAGAATCCTAAGAACATTTTACACCAAAATTATATACCATGATAAAATTTGAAGGTGCACCTTACCTATACAGCTATAGATGCATCCGTATGCCAGCTGCACCCAAAATATAAAGTTTGAAAGGCGAAAGCTTATGCTCTCCCATGAGAGGATATCATAAATTCACTCCCTCACGTAAAACCCTATCCAGGAGCATTTTTAGGACTCCAAAATTTGGATGCAACTACTCAACTTAGCAATCAACCAAAAATGAAAAATCTAAGCCCAGAAAAAGTAACTTCTTAAGATTGAACAAAAGATTGTCCATGTTTTGGATGCAGTCAGGGAGATTTTTTTTTTTAAAGCATTCATGTTTATATTTTTAGAAGTGTGGGTAAAACATGTTTGTATTGTTCGTTTGATGAGTATTATAAATCACTGTTAAGGCGAAAAAACATTTTGTTTATATCCAAAATCCATCTCTAGCAATCATCCATCGTAATCTGATGTGAATAGTAGTTACAGATGTGCAATACCTTAGCAATTAGCCCAACAGAAAATAAACACAACCTTGAAGTTAAAGCCTGTGACTTAGAAGTTTTAACATTCACTTGTCCTAACTTATTCAATATTAATTGCATGGTTTAATATTTTATTTATTCACATAGGATTTTATGATCGGAAAAGGATTTAGTTACTGTGAACATAATTTACTAAAAATGCAAACAGTTTTCCACTCAGGTTACTTGGGAGCATGATATGTTGGTAGGGCTTATGACTAAGAAGGGGCTATTTTTGAGCTGCCTAAATGCGAATGCCCAACAGCTCCATTGAAGTATAGAATTGTTTGGAAATTAAGTGAATAGGTTTTCTTTGAGGGTGAGGTTTCTATAAGGAGTCAACCTTACGTGCACCTAAAAACTCTCATTAAAAAATGTATTTTGGTGCCAAAACCCTTATCATGGTTTAAAAATCTATTTTTTGCCCCTATAATGAAATTGAAACCTTAAAAAATAGTACAAATCTAACATATCTATGAGTACTAAAAAATATTGAAAATGGATGGTCTAGATAATGTGTTTCAAGCTGTATTATTTTTGGAGCTTGAAATTCAATTTTCCTTTTATATCCATATGCATCAAAATGAAGATGATTAACTGGAGAATTTTCGAGTGACAACAACTTTTTATGATGGGGTTTTTAGATGCACCTTACTTCTATAGTATAATGTTAACACCTTATATGAACTTTTACCTTCCTTTAATTTTCCACAGTTATGAGCATTTGGTGGTGTACTCTTAATAAATGAGAAATTAGTTCAGGTCACCAGAAAATGGGAGTTCAATCGAATGGCTCCTCTCTCTCTCTCTAAAAGGTAGTTTTGGGTTCCAATGGGATAAAGACTTCTTAATTATTTCCAATTTTTCGAGAGTTTATTCAACATTTTCATGAATCTCTCTCTCTCTCATACACAAACACACACACTATTGCACCCCTAGGGGTTCGTATCATCAACATTGCCAAAACAAACGCCACAAGGAATTGCATCTATTGAGGAATTCTTTCAATATTCTTTAAGAAAGGACTATATTTTTGTGAAGTTCAGGCATCAGCTCTCACTTTTGGGATTAACTACACTAAGATTGGTACAACAAAACAAGAACAACAGCCCTAAACATGGCAGGGAAACTCGAGACCATTTAGGTAAGTAAGAAGAGCAAAACAAGTACAACAGCTCTACAGATGGCAGGGGAACTCTCAAGATTTAGATAAGTAAGAAGAAATGCCTCAACCCACCATAAAAGAAGCCAGCATAAGAGGCCATGAGAGAGAGATAGATTAAATTGTATGTCCAAAGCAGAGGGGACCTCAAAACAGACCCAAAAGGAGCACCTGCAGTGCAAAACACCTCCAATGGTCTACTCGATTTATGATGATGATGGTCCATACTGCTTTCAGGGAAAATCGCAGAATGAGCATCAGCGTCTCAAGTTGTGCATGACCTCAGCTTGCCGTTCCTTTGCCTATGAGAGAGAAGCATAGTACAAGGCTGTTAACATATGTAAACCAAAAACTTAATGGAAGGTCCCATCGTCTTTCAAAAGTTTACCAGAATGAATCCTTCTTCTCTTGAGCCAGTAAGTCCTCGAATGATATGTCATCATCACCAACATCTGGGATTGGTCGCAACTGCTGAGAATTGGACTTCATCTCGAGAAGAGAATTGCGGATCTCAAGCATCTTTGGAGGAGAGAGAGAGAGAGAGAGAGAGAGAGAGAGAGAGAGAGAGAATTTGTGAGTTCATAGACAACTAAATAACTTGTGAGCCTTCTGATAAACGGGAAGGGATAAGAGAGAAGAAGTACTTGATAGATGCAAATCATAAGTAATTATATTGATGTTATTAATGAGAATGACTATGTCAGAGAAAGAGAGAGCAGGCACATATGTACTCCAGTTCTTACCTTCTGATAAGCAGGGGAACATTTCAGCTGCTCTTGAAGCAGATTATAGACTGCAGTATCCTCTGCTAATCTCTTCTGCTCAATATCTAACCTATTTATCTGCAGACACTTATTAACTGCATGCTTCAGACAGATTCCACATGGATGCTTCATGAAACATGCAAATAAAATGTTATAGTATGTAAGAAGACCAGACCTGCATACAAAGGCGATCAAATGACGATTTATCCGCCTTTGCTGACATTAACTTTGCCATGGCTAATCTTTGCTTTCTTCTGACAACCTCTGATCTGTATAATCAAACATCACAGACACACAAGTCATATGCATTTCTTTTCTGTTTGTTTTTCCTTTGATGAACGAGTTACATGCAACTTAGAGGAAGACCAAATCCCATTACAGTGAAGATGGAAATGGCAAACAAGGAGAAAATGAAGAACATACTTTTGTTGCAGTGCAGTCTTTGCGTCAAGTAGACAATTAACAAAGTTACCAACCTGCAAAGGTATTGAGAAAAAACCTCACATTAAAGCTTGCCACATAAATCGAAGCAAGACAAACTTAAAGCAGAGACCATTATAATCAGAGACAATTAGTATCCCTTTGATTTCCAGCTAAACTGTGAACAACTTGTAACTTGACCAATTTATAATTTTTCTACATTTTATTATAACGCCTTAGGCCCAAAAATGCTGACCAGACCACTTGGACAAAACCACTTGGAGTGGTTTGGTCTCTCTCTCTCTCTCTCTCTCTCTCTCTCTCTCTCACACACACACACACACACACACACACACACCCTCGACCACCATCACACCACATAAGTCAGAACAATCAAACACCCTTCTCTCAACAAACCACAATTATCAAGTTGCATGTGGTTCAACCAGTACTTGGAACTTGAACATCAAATTGTGAAATTTGACAATGAAATGGACCCTTAGTCTTAATAATAAAACTTTTGCATCCAAACAAAAGACTCATGAATAGTAAAACTTCAACATCCACATAGACAAAAATTATGATTAATGATCATATAACCAAATATGCATCTGAGTTCACAATAATAAAGAGATTCTCTTTCAATAAATTTATAAATTATGGAGACCTACATCCCACCAAATAACACAAACTAATTAACTTCTACAAAGTAACATCTGCACATTGTCATGCAAAACTTTACCTTAGAAAAAGGTTTTAACACAAGCTTAGCAGCTATTTTGTTTTTTCTTCTTTTTTCTCTTTTATTTGTGAAAGGTAAAAAAAGAACGTTAAGCATTAATAAGCATAGCCCATCTTGAATTAGACAAAAAGGAAAAACTTCCCTAAGAATGTGAAGTTGATGGGAACGATTAAATATCAGGGACGAGTTCAGCCCTGAGGCACAAATATATAAAGCCAAAGGGGCAAACGTCCAGTCCAGCTTGAGAAGTAATGCAATAAATGTCCATACTAAGTAGTGCAATAGAATCAGCTAGTTAGGATCCATAATGAAATTTAAGATTCGTAGTTGTTTATGATACTCCGGTATGGCTAGTCCAAGCCGGTCATGCCAGTCTCAAGCCAAGACAAGAAAGGAGGAGGGTTGTATTGGCCAGTCCAAGCCGGTCATGCCAGTCTCAAGCCAAGACAAGAAAGGAGGAGAGTTGTATTGGCTAGTCCAAGCCGGTCATGCCAGTCTCAAGCCAAGACAAGAAAGGAGGAGAGTTGTATTAGGCTGGGAGCCAGTGTAAAACGTTTCCACATGTTTTCATGAATCCTGATCCTATGATTAGCCGATCCCAAATAGTTGAGATAAGACTTAGATGATGACGAGTTGTTTATGATACAATTTTTTTCTCAAGCAAGAGAAGTATGTCAAAAATACCATTGTAAGTTACATATTTAAGTTTTAACATAAATACAAACAGGTAATCATCATCATTATCATAGCCTTTTCTTAATTAATTGGGGTCGGCTACACGAATCTTGGTCCGCCATTCCGCTCTATCAAAAATACCATTGTAAGTTACATACTTAAGTTTTAACATAAATACAAACAGGTAATCATCATCATTATCATAGCCTTTTCCCAATTAATTGGGGCCAACTACACGAATCCTGGTCCGCCATACCGCTCTATTAAAGGCCATGCCCTCAACGAGGCCATAAGTCCCCATATCTTTTCAGACTACTTCTAACCACGTCCTTTTGGGCCTACCCCTTGCCCTTTTCAGTTCTATTTGAACTAACTCGCACCTCCTAATAGGTGTTGTACCTGTTTAACACCACACATAGCCAGCCCACCTAAGTCTACTCTCTCTCATCTTATGGCCTATTAGTGTCACACCTAAATTCTCTCGAATTGATTCATTTCGAATTCTATCCCTTCTTGTCTTGCCACTCATCCATCTCAGCATCCTCATCTCTGCTACACGCATTCTATGTGTATATTGTTTTTTGTCCGCCCAACATTCAGCCCCATAGAGCAAAGTTGGTCTCACAGTTGTCCTATAAAACTTACCCTTCAACTTCATTGGTATGCGATGAACACATAAAATTTCAGTTGCACATCTCCACTTCGCCCACCCAACTCTAATTCTGTGTGCAACATCTTCTTCAATCTCTTCTTCAATCTCTCTATTTTCCTGGATTATCGACCCAAGATATCGAAAGTGTGGTCTTTTTTGTATTTCCTAGTCTTCAAACTTAACTACTTCCTTGTCTCTACTCATATTATTACTAAACTTGCATTCTATATTTTGTCTTAGTCCGGCTAATTTTAAAACCTTTGGATTCTAGAGCATCCCTCCAAAGTTCTAACTTTGAGTTGATGCCGTTTCGGGTCTCATTGATCATAACTATGTCATCTGTGAACAATATGCACCACGGTACCTCCTCCTGTAGGTGCCTAATTAAGCATCCATAACTAAGACAAAGGTATGGGCTCAATGATGACCCTTGATGTAGACATATTGTCACTGAAAACTCACTCATCTCTCCACTAGTTGTTCGTACATTAGTTAGCGCTCTATTGTACATATCTCTCAACAAGTCGATGAAGTGTCTGGAGACTCCTTTCTTGTTCAACAACCAGCAAATCAAATCTCATGGAACACTATCATAAAATTTCTCTAGATCAATAAAGACTATGTGGAGGTCTTTTCCTTTCGGCCTAAACTTCTCGATCAGTTGCCTAAGTAGGAAAATAACCTCAGTTGTTGACCTTCCTGGCATAAAACCAAATTGGATTTTAGATACACTTGTTTCATACCTTAGCCGTTGTTCAATCACTCTCTCCCAGAGCTTCATAGGATGGTTCATAAAGTTGATCCCTTGATATTTCACACAATTATGTATGTCTCTTTTGTTCTTGTAAATAGGTACCACAATATTTTTCCTCCATTCATCTGGCATTTCCTTTGTTCTCAATACCTTGTTGAATAGCTTCGTCAGCCAGTCAATACCAATCTCCCCCATGCACTTCCGAACCTCGATCGGGATACCATCTGGTCCTAAAGCCTTTCCTATCCATCCTTTTCGAAGCTTCGTTCACTTCTGACATCCTAATCCTACAGATGTATCTATGACCGATGCCCTCATTTGTACCAACAGTTCTTTCTAGTGCTATTTTCCCATTTTGTTCATCATTTAATAATTTGTGAAAATAAACTCTCCACCTTTCATTGACCTCGTCATCGTTTTCCAAAATCCTTTGATCCTCATTTTTAATGCCTTTAATAAGGTTTAGATCCCTACACTTTTTATCTCTTATTTTTGGTAATTTGAAGACATCTTTTTCTCATTCTCTTATTCCTAGTTTATTATATAGATTATCATATACCTTAAGTTTAGCTTTATTTACTATTTGTTTAGCGTTTTTCTTAGCATTTTTATATTTTTTTAAGTTTTGATTGTTTCTATTACACTGCCAAGTTTTATAACATGATCATTTTTCGCCAATGACCTTCTGAACCGCATCGCTATACCACCAAGTTTCCTTATCAGAGTTTCTTATCCATTTAGATTCTCCTATTTTCTTGATACAATCAGCATTCTCATTCCATACTACATTGACATCATAGTCAGAGATTTTCATTTTCCTTCAACTAATTTATCCCTAAATTTTCTCATTTTTTAAATTCCACCACCTAGTTCTTGAACATCCATTACTTTCACCCTTTCTCTTACATGTCTTTATGCAGACATCCATAACCACGAACCTATGTTGGGTAGTCAAACTCTTTCCCGGGATAACCTTGCAGTCTTTAGATGATCGTCAATCTACCTTCTTAACTAGGAAGAGGTCTATCTGGCTTTTATGTGATCTACTTTTAAAGGTTATTAATGTTCATCTCACTTTTTAAAGTAAGTGTTTACTATTGCTAGGTTGTAGGCCATAACAAAATCTTAAATAGTCTCACCCATCTCATTTCTTTCCCCAAACCCTTATCCCTCATGTACCCCTCATATCCTCTACTATCCTTCCCTACATGACCATTTAAGTCCCCTCTTAAAAAGGTCCTCTCTCCATTTGGTATGTCTTGGACTATTCCAGCTATGTCCACCCAAAATTGTCTCTTAATTCTATCATCTAATCCTCCTTGTGGTGCATAAGTACTAATTAACTATCTCTTTCCCTAATATAAATATAATTAATAAGAGCTTATCACCTATTCTTTTAACATTAACTACTTTATCTTTTAAATCTTTGTCTACTATTAATGTCTACGTCATTTCTATTACTATCGTTTCTTGTATACCAAAGTTTATACCCATATATTTTTGTAGCTTTTTCTCCTTTCCATTTAGTTTCACATAGACGGACTATGTTTACTCTCCTTCATCTCATGGTATCCACTAACTCCATGCTCTTACCTGTAAGTGTTCTTATATTCCATGTGGCTAAACGAATCCTATTCTCTTAGACAAGCGTCTTTATCCGTGCTCGTCCAGGATGTCGTAGGAACCCTTACCTATTTTTCACCGCAACGGGGCGGCGCTGCGGCATGTCGCTTTTGGGGAACGCCCGAGCTAACCCTTGCGCATTTCTCACTGTACTCAGGGTCTGGTACAGTGCATCGCTTCTGAGGAACAAAATAAAAACAAGTCATAATTTCTAAATATAAAAAATTAAATGGTCTACAACATCGAAATAATAGCACCATCATCGGAGCTTTATCCTGACTATTTCGAGTCGGCTAATATTGTTCCGCCATTCTGCTGTATCAAGGATCATATCCTCAGTCATACCATAAGTCATCATATCTTTTCTCGCTACTTCCATCCATGTCTTCTGCCTTTTGGAGCCTTCCACTTGAACATATTTTTGTATATACTGTTTATCTCAAGACCCTATCCAGACTTGACCCGGCTTGGCCCGGTGGGTCTGTTCTATGTTCGATTCACTTGGACCTAACCAAAGTCCAGGTTGACCAGGACCCGACCCGAACCATTCCAAGCCCTAGGCACCCTTTAGCAGAAGATGGATGGTAAGTGAATGTACAAGTGTGTATAA